TCACAACAGGAGCGGGGCGCTGATGTCTTGCGTCTTCGAGAGCGCCTGAGCGATTTGCGACGCCTCGAACGGGTGTCTGCGGCTGGGGCCGATGCTGACAGGCTGGCGCGATGCCGTGCAGTGTGGTGAGTGTGGTGAGTTTCAACTCAAAACACAAGAGGGCGCGATACGACGATATCCATCAAACAAAAAGACATTTGTGCAAGTTGCGTGTCGGACGGTGCAAAGTACTTCGAACAGAATTGTTTCCCTTTCTTTCTCATTCGGTTTCAACAGAATTGTTTGGAGTTCGTAATTTTCTCCAAGGGTCGCTTTGCTGGGTCAGCTGGGAAGAGATTTGCGCACGTCGGGAATTCAGGTTCAAGGCGGGAGTTGTCGGATTCAATTTTGTTGAAACTGGGCTCTCAGGTTCCAAAGGTTGACAAGAACGAATAAACGAAAAAATCGTGGACAAATTTTGCGGGATATTGTGCTTGGCCGAAACGAAGTGCCTCGGACAGGCGCTCGGAAATGTCCCGAGTGTCCTGTTCTTGCCTTAGAGTGTCGTGAGGTGTGTGCTCAATAGACGACGTGGCGAATCTAGGAAACAACAGGACGATGAAATACTGCAACAGGGAAAACAGAGGCAATAACACGGCGCATGGAGAAGAGTCTTGTGTTTCAAACAATCGCGGCATAGGTGAAAGATGGAGCACGACCGTTTGAACAGAGATCTCCAGCAGATCTCCAGCCGACTTTGCCACGCCTTCTTTTGGAAGTTGCCGCATTGCGGCAGTTGCTGGAGGAGATCGGAAGGTCGTTTGTTTGCGCTCGGTGCCAACTCAGCTTTTGCCGTTTGTGTTTCCGTTTAGGTTGTTTTCATTTGTTTTCATCATTCCGATGTGTTTTTTTCTTCAGACAGCAGCTCAGAAAAATGGTTGCGGTTTGAAAATTGCAGTGTCACATTCATTCATGGTTTGCAGTTCGCACCTTAAGGGATAAGCGCGAACTATTTTTTGCACTTGGCGCAGCAAGTAGCATTGTTTTGCCTTGTAGAGATGATTGCAAGTGGACAACGAGGACAACGAGGTATTGCAAGTGGAGCCGCAAAAGGTTCGAAAGGCTCCAGCGGCGAGCCCGACTTGTCAGAATGAAGCCAATTGGCCGCAAAGATCTCTCTAAACCCGTCGATGTTCTTCGGCTCTTGAGCTTGGCGTCACAGGAAATGAGAAAGACATCCGGAAGCCATGCATAGCCTCTTGCGACCCACTACTCCAAAAGCTCCACGTATACCCCACTCAATCCATGCAACTTCGTTTAGGAGATGAGGCAGTGGATGAGGCCTTTTCACTTCCTTAGATCCTGAGATGTTCTTTGATGTCTCCCGTGGTGTTAAACATTGTTAAACACAAATTCCGCCGGAAAACGCATTTTGTCGAAGTCACTGTCACGGTACTGACAGTCAGTCTAATCAAAAAGAACACGTTTGATACGAGAATGAGGTTGACAAAAGAATCTTTCAGTTTTCCCCAAAGGGTGAGAACATTGTTACTACTAGTAAGGCACTTGTTACTAGTAGCTTCTTGTTCCTACTAGTAA